GCTTAGTGCAAGCCCACCAGGGACCCAAAGGCCAGCCCTTAAGAAGTTACCCAAGCCAGGTGGTGAGTGTCCAGGCCAGAGCCTGGCCCGGGAGGCAGGGTCAGGGGCTGGTTGGGCTCTGACAGAGCCTAGTGGGTGGCATCGCTGGAGGCCTCCCCATGCTGCTGCTGGAACTCTAGGCGTGTTTGCCGGTTGGACTCAAGCAGCTCCGGGAGACGGGCGTGGAGGTGGTCGTTCTTTTCCTTCAGGTGGTCCAAACAAGAGTTGATTTGGTCCAACATAGAGTTGATGGCAGCATATTCTGCTTCTCCAAAGCTGTCTTCCTCGCCTTCTGCACTCGCCTCCACCGGCATGCCCAGGTCCCCGTTGGGGCCCGACATTGCGGGCTCGGGCGCAGCAAGTGCCGCACGAAGATGGAACACCGGGACCGTCACGGCAAAAGCCGGCACCGGGCAGAGCGCAGCAGCAGTGGACTGAACGTTCAGCAGGACGGGTCTGAACAGAAGGGTCGGTTCTGAGTCAGTTACCACTCAATGACACACAACAGCATCCAGAAAGCTGCCTTCTCAGGGTTAAACTCTCTTTATAGTTTTGTATGAATTGTTGTTGTGTTTCTCCTAGTTGGAACAGACTCACAGTTGATCCTGCAGTGGGTTTTCAGACGCTTTCACATTGCTCTGAAGAAGAAGACCATCTTTGGCCCCTGGAATAACTGACAGATTTGAACCAGGTGCTTTAAGGTTGGCAGTACAGCTTCTCACTGGAACTACATATTTAATTAAAAGTGTAATAATAGGGAAAGTAGTGCAACAGGGATGTGTCTTATCTCCAAAACTTTTCACTTTACATGTGAACCAGATCATTCAGTACTAAAGACCTTATGAGAAGAATTGTGGCATCAGAATCAGAGGAAGACTCATCAACAACTTGTGTTATACAATGACACGACCTTGCTTGCTGAAAATGAGAAGGGCTTGCCTCATTTGTTATAGACGGTCAAGGACTGCAGTCTTCAATAGGGAATGAAACTCAATATGAAGAAAACAAAGATTCTCACCACTGAGCCAATGAGTAGCAGCACAATAATAGATGGAGAAGAGATTGAGATTGCTGACAATTTTAGCTCATTTGGCTCCACAATCAACACTCTTGATACCAGCAGTCAGGAACTGAAAAGGTGAATTGTACTGGGAAAATCTGCTGTCCTCTCCAGAGCGCTAAAGAGCAACAGTGTCATTCTGGAAACTAAAGTGCACCTGATCTAGGCCAGGGTCTTTGCAATTACTTGCTATGCATCAGAGAGCCGGACAATAAGTATGACGGAAGAAGAATCATTGTCTTTGAGTTGCTGTAATGGAAAAGATTGTTGAACATCTCATGGACTGCCAAGAGAACAGACCAGTTTTTCTTGGAGTGGGTAAAATCAAAATGCTCCTTAGAGGCAAGGATTCTGAAGCTCTCTGTCTTACATCCTTAGGACATGTTGCCAGGAGGGATCAGTCCCTGGAAAAGGACATCATGCTTGGAAGGGTGGAAGGACAGTGCAGGAGAGGAAGACCTTGGATGAGATGAATAGATACAGTAACTAGGATAATGGGAGTAGGTGTGTCAGATATAGTGAGACTGACTCAGGGTAAGTCAGCATTCAGAGCTATTGTGCATAGGGTCACTATGCATTGCAGTTGACTTGATGTCACATAACAATAACAACAAATAAATGTACATATCCCTATAGAAATAAATGCTTGAAAGTTGAAACAGAGCAGAGATCATTTTCCTCAATAAAAGTTGTATTTGTAAATATTGTCAGAATTATCTGGGAGAAAAGAGGAGAACATCAATTCCAGTCACAAGAATGAGCATGTACCAAGAACCTACAGTGTGCTTCAGAAAAAGAGCTAAGCAAAGAGAGGATGAGGTCAAGTTCAAGTCAAACAGAAAAGTTCCTATAGACTCATGAGGTTGGACTTGGTAACCAAGAGATATTTATATGAGGATATGGATTATATTGCCACTGTTAAGTGCCTTCGAGTTAATTTCAAACTCATGGTGAATACACAGGACAGAGTATAACTACCCACTATCTCACAGGGTTTTCTTTTTCCTTTTTTTTATTATGTAAGACCTTTATTAACAGAGTTTTCTAAACTGTAATCTTCGAGAGCAGCCACCAAGAGTTCGCAAAACAATTGGTTCCTTCAGAACCACTAGATGGATTCAGATTGCCGAGCTTTTGGTTTGTATCTGAAGTTTTAACTGTTACATTGGCAGGGTTGTTTATTTTGACTTGTGTGTCCTCTATTGAAAGCAAATGTGGATACGCAGTTTTGTGATGAAGGCAAATTGAACTGTAGCACATGTGACCCTCTTTCAATGAACATTGGATAAGTGGAAAAATGAGTAAATATTACAAAGTGAGGAAGACCCACAGTGAAAGACATGTTGACACAGTGTCTACAACGATGGGCTTAAGTGTGTCAGAGATGATGAAGATGGCATAGGACAAAACAGGGTTCAGATCTGTTACTCAAAGCTTTGCTGTGGGTTGCACTCAACTCGATGGCACCTAACAAAAACAACAATTGATGCACAGACAAAATTTGTCTGTTCTTTTGGCAATCTATAGTATATTCACTATTCTTTTCAAACACTACAATTCAAAAGCATCAATTCTTCTTCTGTCATCCTTGGTCATTGTCCTAATTTCAGAAGTAGAAGACACAATTCAAAATGGCAAGGCTCAGATCAGGCACACCTTAGTCTCTTAGTCTTTAAATTGATATTCTCATTCTTACTACTTTGGAGAAGTCTTTGACAGCAAGCAAATTTGCCCAGTAAAACTCCTCTGATGATTACTCTCCTCCCCCCCCCCCAATCAAATCAGATCTCACTGGTAAGGGAGGAGATTGCCCCTCCTTCTCCAGCAGAGCATCTGTCTGATGATTTCTTGACTGCTGCTATCTTTGCTTTTAATTGTCGATAAAAGCAAAACAAATCTGTCTTAGAGGATGTGTAGCAGAAATCTCCGTAGAAGCAAGAATGGTGAAACTGTGTCTCACATATATTGAGTATGTTCTCTGCAGGAGCTAGTCCTCGGAAAAAGATATCATACTTGGAAAGGTAGGCTCAGTGAAAGAAAGAGGGCCAGCTAAAGAAAGGAAGACGCTCAACAAAACAGAGAGAAACAGTGAGCTTGAGCATGGTGGAGACCATGTGGATGGAGCTGTGAGGACCGCACAAGGCTCAGAGCTGCTGTTCATAGAGTTGTTATGAGGTGTAGTTAACTTGATGGCACCTAACAATGTAATAATAAATGGTATCTTTTTTTCCCTTTTTTTCCCCCTTCTACCTCGTCTCACTTTCCTTACACCTTCTCTTAAACTTTATGGGATCTTCTCCAAAATAAAGTAGTTGCAAAAAGTCTTTGTCCCAACATCTGCTTTAGGATAGGCAGATAAACTGACACAGTATAGAAAGACAGAAGATGATGAGAGAAAGAGAAATAAATAAGATTGATAGCAGGGATTCACTTAATCCTGACTAAATTAGGAATTGACTAATTGCACTAAGTTACATTATGGTTTATACAATTTCGTTTCTCATGAATAAAGCACAGGACTCAATGTCGAAGAAAGAGTGAACACTTTTTACAAACATCTAGGAAATATAATTTTCCATAAATCTTATATATTGAGAATGGCATCCAAAGAGATAATTCCCCATACTTAACTTAAGGTGCTGGGTTTCATGAGGCAAAGTTTGAATATATTTAACAGATGGAGCCTGCTCTCATATAAATGCTTCATTAGAGTAATTCAAACACAGGGATAAAGATTGAGTAGTAGAATGACGTGTATTCTTATTGAAATGCATGGGTTTCTGACACTGAAATGGGTTCTAATATTGTCCATTAGAATTCCTGTCTAAGGCTATTTTGTTCAGTGACAAGGATGTGTATGTATATATACTTTCTAGTAAAAATAGTAACACATCTGAATTCTTAGAAAACCAAGCTGGTCAAACTACCGTAATGCATAAAATAACATTAAAAGTCAGGAGATGGCAAGAGACAGATGTTTCAACCTCTTGGGATAAAGAAAAGAGAAACAAGACATCCCTGGTTCAACACTGCAATAAAAGAACCCTGCATGATGCCACACGCATGGGAGCTGTTAACCAACTCTTACATCTGCTGGATAACAAAGCTATTGATCACTAGAGAGTTTCCTAGAGGGATTTCAGCTAGGAAAGATACTCTCTGATGAACAGAAGTGTTTGTAGAAATTACAATTCTAATGGGATCAGAATAAGGTGTAAATCTCCTAAGCAGATAATACCCAACAGTGGCAGAAATGTATGCTCGTATTGATACTCATTACCATGAACACGTGCACCTCCTACGGGATTGCAGGGTTCTTACTCTTATCTATCACAGACACTTATGGGGATCTGGGCTTTACAAATATACAGTAATAAAAGGAGAAAATAAGGCAGATGGATGGGTAGTAATAATATCAAGAAAAGTGTAACTCTGATAAATTCTTGAAACAAAAATGAAAATCAATCTTGCCATTGTCGACACTGGAATTCTGACTCTAGGGGCCAAGTTGTAAGAAGCTGTATTGCCAGCCCAAATGTATGTGGTTGAATCCACCAGCTTCTCTGTGGGAGAGGGATGGGCAGTTTTCTTCCATGCTATTTACTGCCTCGGAAAATCCCCTGAAGAGTCAGCTATAAGTTGGTTCCAACTTGATGGCACACAACAATAAGAGAAGGAAGGTGGGTTTGCATATTGTCAAGGATATACACCACTGACTTTCTGTGTACACAGAGTACTGAGTCAGAGTTGGTTCAGTGGCTCCTGGAACAACAATTGAATGAACTCATGTTTTCTGTGAGTTCTACCCTTATGTCTGAAGACATTTGTCTATCGACTGAGGTACCAAGTTGTAAAGAGTGAGGCATGAAAAAAAAAATGCTACCAGATTGTTTCAATATATTCTAGTTGGGGGTTCTGGGGGTGTTTTGTTTGTTTGTTATGACAATGTTGGATTTTATTATAAGTTTATAAAGAACTTGGATTTCCATTCATTCATTGTTGCACATTTCCCTCCCTGCCCCCC